ACCATGCCCAGCTAATTTTTTGTATTTTTAGAAGAGACGGGGTTTCACCATGTTGACCAGGATGGTCTCAATCTCTTGACCTCGTGATCTACCCGCCTCGGCCTCCCAAAGTGCTGGGATTACAGGCGTGAGCCACCGCGCCCGGCTCCTTCTTTTTTTTTTTTAAGAAAGAGTTTCGCTCTGTTGCCCAGGCTGGAGTGCAGTGGCACAATCTTGGCTTACTGCAAACTTTGCCTCCCGGGTTCAAGCAATTTATCTGGTGTCAGGCACCTGACACTAGGCCTGGATAATTTTTTTATTTTTAGTAGAGACAGGGTTTCGTCATGTTGGCCACGGTGGTCTTAAACTCCTGACTTCAGGTGATCTGCCCGCCTCAGCCTCCCCAAGTGCTGGGATTACATGTGTGAACCACCACACCCAGCCTCCATACGCATTTAATCTTCACAGTGACCAGATGTGGTAAGTATTGTTAGGATCCCACTTTATTTGTTCAAAGTGGTCACTGGCCTGGCCCAGGTAAACCTGAGTCAAAGGAGACAATGGTCCCAGCTGGTGGGAAGACCCAGACCATAACGAAAGGGGAATGCAAGTGTGATGCCAAGTGGAGAAGCCTGCCAAGGCGGCAGGGAACCAGGGTTGCAGTGGAGAATAACAAGGCAGGCCTCTTTTCTTTTTTTTTGAGTCTCGCTCTGTCACCCAGGCTAGAGTGCAATGACACAATCTCGGCACACTGCAACCTCTGCCTCCCGTGTTCAAGCGATTCTTCCACCTCTGTCTCCTGAGTAGCTAGGATTACAGGCACCCTCCATCGTGCCAGCCTAATTTTTGTATTTTGGTTTTTAATTTTATTTATTTTTTTGAAACGGAGTCTCGCTCTATTGCTCAGGCTGGAGTGCAGTGGCCTGATCTCAGTTCACTGCAACCTCTGCCTCCTGGGTTCAAGCGATTCTCCTGCCTCAGCCTTGTGAGTAGCTGGGAACACAATCGAGGCTAATTCTTTTTTTGAGACAGAGTTTTGCTCTTGTTGCCCAGGCTGGAGTGCAGTGACGCTATCTGGGCTCACTGCAATCTCTGCCTCCTGGGTCTAAGGGATCCTCCTGCCTCAGCCTCCTGAGTACCTGGGATTACAGGCGTGCAACACCATGCCTGAATAATTTTTGGTATTTATTTATTTATGAGACAGAGTTTCACTCTTGTAACTGAGGCGGGAGTGCAATGGTGCAAACTTGGCTCACTAGAACCTCCACCTTCCAGGTTCAAGTGATTCTCTTGCCTCAGGCTCCTGAGTAGCTGGGATTACAAGTACCCGCCACCACACCTGGCTAATTTTTGTTATTTTGTAAAGTTGGGGTTTTACCATGTTAGGCTGGTCTTTTTTTTTTCTTTTTTCTTTTGGTCAGGCTGGTCTTGAACTCCTGACCTCCGGTGATCTGCCTGCCTCAGCCTCCCAAAGTAATGAGATTATAGGTGTGAGCCCCACTGCGCCCAGCTGATTTTTTTTTTTTGGAGATCAAGTCTTGCTCTGTTACCCAGCAGCCTGGAGTGCAGTGGGGTAGCGATTCTCCTGCCTTGTCCTCTGGAGTCATTGGGATTACAGGCATGTGCCACCACACCTGGAAAATTTTTGTATTTTTAGTAGAGATGAGGTTTCACCATACGTATTCCTCAGGCTGGTCTCAAACTCCTGACCACAGGTGATCCACCTGCCTTGGCCTCCCAAATTGCTGGGATTACGGGCGTGAACCACCACACCTGGCCCAACAAATTCATTATTAAAACAGCTTTGTCAGGCTAGGTGAGGTGGTCCACACCTATAATCCCACTATTTTGGGAGGCCAAGGTGGATGGATCACCTGAGGTCTGGAGTTTGAGACCAGCCTGGCCAACATGATGAAAACCCATCTCTACCAAAAAGATAACAATTAGACAAGCGTGGTGGTTTGTGCCTGTAATCCCAGGTACTCTGGAGGCTGAGGCAGGAGAATCGTTTGCACCTGGGAGGCAATGGTTGCAGTGAGTCAAGATCACGCCACTGTACTCCAGTCTGGGTGACAGAGTTAGAC